TTCTACCATATTTTTAACTATCCATTCAATGGATAGTTAATGACCAGATTCCTATCTGGTCAGGTCAGTCTTATCAGCCCAATTTAAGCTAGAGTCTTAAAGGGGTTCAATGACATGCAAGTTACTCAATTTGCAAGTGATCAAATGGGGCTCCAGTTTAAGTGGCTAATGACAAAAGCTTTGTCATTACTGTGAAAGATGAGAATACAAAGGAAAGGGTGAAAGGAGGGAGCTTGTCCTGATTTGATCTCTCACTTTTCTTGTGGGGAGATGTGCCCCGGTTCTGGGAAAGTTATACCAAGGGCAGAATTGCAGTGAGTCTAAGGAGAAGGATCAGCGACAAGTTCATTCAGGTTGGGAATGCTAAGTAGCAATCAAGAGAAAAATCTAATCCACTCCTATGATAAGAAACACATTAACCTCCCTCAACTCAGCTGTGCTGCAGGGAATGGGGGCAATAAACTTTAGAAGCCTTGGAAAAGTGGGGAAAGCTGAAACTAGAAAAGTGAATGAGATCATGAGACAGAAAGAAAAATGACTGGGAAGGAAAGAATAGGGGTGAGAAAAGAAATAAAGGAAGCTAACAATGCACTCACATTTGCAGAAGGATGGAATGGGGCATTTACAAAGGTGATCCTCCCTCGAGATAATTAGGAAGGTAATACAGTATAGGTGATGTTTCTTTACCAAATGTTCCACTGCACAAAAGTAAAGGGCACTGAGAGGAGTTTTGTTTCTCCTTATAGAGATATCAGGGTTGAGATAGCCCTGTGAGAAAGTGATTGCCATACAAGCATGGGGACCTGAATTTGATCCCCAATACCTGTGTGTCATGATGGTACATTTGTAACCCCAGCACTAGGGAGGCAGGCACAGGAGGATCCCTGGGACTGGCTGGCCAGTCAAATTAGTCAACAAAGAGCACCAGACACTGTCTCAGAAAATAAGGAACAATATCTGAGGTTGACCTCTGGAGGGAGGGAACAAGGGAGGGAGGGAGGGAGCAAGGGAAGGAAGGAGGAAGAGGTTGCCCTCTGGCCTACACACACACACACACACACAGAGAGAGAGAGAGAGAGAGAGAGA